CCGGGGCCCGCCCCCCCGGGAGCCCGCGAGCGCGGACCACGCCCCCTCACCTGCTCCCGGGCTCCACCGACAAGCAGTAGACGCCCTTCCGGGCGCACAGAACGTAGAGCGCCCCGCGGCGGGCCAGCAGCTGCAGGTGCCACACCTGGTCTGGAAACTGGTACACGGCCTGGGCGCCAGGGAAGGGGTCAGGCGGCCGCCCCGGCCCGCCCGCCGCCCCGCGCTCACCGTCAGCAGCCCGCCCTCCTGGTCGTACACGTACACGAACTCGCTGCCGGTGGACAGGAAGACCTCCGCCTCGTGGCACAGCACGCGAGGCTTGCCCGCCGCCAGGCCGCCGAGCGGGCAAGAGAAGCCAGCCAGGTAACTCACGCGCCGCGCGGCGTCCGCCATCGTGAGGGCGGCGGGCCGGAGCGGAGCCCGGCGGGGCGGTGCCGCCTCGGGTAGTTTACGGCCGCCTACGGCGCCGCGCGGCCTCCGCCGTAAACCCGCGCTGCGGGGGCGGGGCCGACCCGGGCCGCAGGGGTGGGCGGGGCCGACCGGGGGCGGGGCCCGGGAGCCCCAGCCGCCCAGCGGGACCACGCCCGACTGGCCGAGAGCGAACCGCGGGCCGTCGTGTGTGCGGCGGAACTCGGGAAAGCCGCAGGTTGTCCGTCCGGCTCTCCGGGGCCGCTGTCCTGGGCTCGGGGTGGCCCCTTGGACTGAGCGCTGGCGGGCATCCCTTTCCCTGAGCCCCGTGACTCTGGGTCTCGAGTGCACAGGACTTCCAGCCCGCCTTCCACCAGCTGCAAGCAATGCTGGTCACCGGTGAGCGCACACCGGTTCCCGCCACTTTTCCACGCACGCGCGCGCGCGGGGAGCAGAGTGACAGGCCTCACTGCGCCAGGTCTGGGAGCTGGCAGACCCCTGGCCACCAGCAGTCCCAACGATCAGCTCTCCCCAGCAGGAAGGGGCCTGAGGGGCTCAGGCACACCCCGGCCCAGCTGAGGATGGGAGCAGGCTGGTGGCCGCTGAGCCTTCGCGGGCCAGGGGGACAGGGGAACGTGTGGCGCTGCAGGCTGTGCGGAGGCACAAAAGCCCAACAGGAAAACACGTGGGGGCGGGCACACAGGAGGCCCGAGTGTGAGTCCTGAGCAGTAGTCTGGCGAGTACCTCCCAGGGCCTCCCGGTCCTCCTCAAAGACCAGCCAGGCTAGCAAAGGTGCACTCCACACTTGGCTGAGCTGCCTCAGGTCTCAGTGGGATGCAGGGACAAGGGAAAACCCTGTAATTACCTCTGCAGCCCAGACACCAAGGCTGCATTCCCCCCAGGTGCAGCAAGAGCATGGTGGACGCCCTGGCTGTCTATGGAAGGCTCAGCTCAAGGAAAGATGCTAGCGCCCTCTAGGCTCCTGGGTTTGCTTGGACTTCCCTTCACCGTGGTGACCATGTGCACCTGTCTAGGATGCAAAGACCCAGGAGCAGTCCTGTACCCAGCAGGTGGAGAGAGGCAGAAAAGATGTAAGGAGGAGGTCAGGCTACTCTTACATTCCATCCAGATAACTTGGAAGAGCAGTGCCCAGGAGCAAGAGCCTGCCAGCGACTGGGGAAATCAGGGTGTTACCAAATCACTCCACACCAAATCCTCTGCTAGACACAGCTTGGGGCACAGGAACAACAGACAATGGGAGCAGGACAGTCGCTTCAGGTGCTTTTATTAGATTTCACTGCGAGCTGGGATCGAGGTAAGGCTAGTCCACACCCAGCCAACACACCTGCGAGCCCAAAGCAGAGCCGAAGCGGGAGCACCCGAGTCCCAGGAGCAGGCTGGTCAGAGGCAGCCGGAGTCGGACCCCACCCCCGGGCCTGGAGGGACGTCAGGCCGTGGGGCCAGGTGGCACAAGAGGGCATGAGGTGGGGCTGGGCCACCCCATGCAGAGCAAGATGGCTGGGCTGCCCAGGCCGGGACCCTCGCAGGGACCTCCCCAGCCTGGTAACATTAGCTTGACTCTCTTTGGACAATAAAATAAAGTGCATTACTGAACAAAGAGCAACTCAAAACCATAAGCAGAGAAACACAACACTTTTTCTTTAGCTAAGAGCTGAAGACATGAATTAATGGAGATGCCAGAATTTCAGAATGAGAAAAATATTGGCTGATGTGGGGGGAAAAAAAACACAAAAGATTGGTTTGGTGGCTAAGAGAACAGACAGGAGGGGAAGCGACGGCGCAGTGGTAGACAGGCCTCCAGAGCAGTGTGCTGTCCAGCACTGGGCCAAGGTAGACAGGCCACAACACAGGCGTGGAGGGCCTCGGGAAGAGGGATCAGCATGGCAGGGCCAGGCCACCCAGGCTCACAGCTGGCCTTAGACCAGGCCCCCTCAGCACTTGTCAATGGTGTGCTGGCTGACCTCTGGGGAGACTTGCCTTCCCGCCTCTGCCCACTTCCGACCCTCCACCCGTACAGCCCTGCCACAACCACCAAGCCTGGTGGGGTCCAGCACTGGCCCTGCCATAAACGCCCAACAAGCACATGTCCTGTCTACAAGGCCAGGGATGGGACCAGCATGGGACACTTCTTCAGGACAGGACGCCCGGTCTCTCAGTCTGGACCCGCCAGTCCTTTCCAGGGTGCAGCTCAGCTGGTTCGCTCTTTATAAGGCAAAGAGACATTATGATGCCCACTTGTCTGGGAAAAGGCTAGACCCAGTCCAGCTCTGTTGGACAGCCGAGAGACCGCGGGGATACTGTTCTGGATCTCCTAGCTGCTCGGTGTGCGGGCAGCATCGAGCGCCCAGGCCCCACAAATGCTCTCACTGCATCCTTCTCAGTGGCCCCGCACTTTGCAGAAGGCCAGAGTACGAGGAGGCTGTGGGTAGAGGATCAGTATTGGGGAAGCAGGAGCCAAATCTCCAGTGCTAGCCATTAGGACTGTCCGGACAGGAAAGGGCCACCATGCCGCTCCTGCTCAGCTGCCACAGCCAGGGGGTTTGGTAGAAAAGTCTCAGGCACTGAGGTTTGCGTCAAAGAACCAATGGTGGCCCAGCCCACTCACCATGCTGAACACCCACAAGGAGCTGCACTGGAGGAGGAGAGGAGGCAAAAACTAGCCTCTCACTTCCCTTTTGTGCAGTCTTATCTTAAAACAATAAATACAGGTTTTCCAGGCAGGAGTTACTGATAACTATTATTATCACCAACGCAGACTTTAAAATCCCACCTGATGTCGGCAAAAGGAGGATGGCGGCACTGACCTGCAGCCAGGCCACGGAGGCCACGGCCAGCCACAGGGTCCCGCCAGGTGGGCCACTCATGTGACCCTTACAGGCAGGGCCTTCATCCCAGAGCAACTGAACAGAGATGGGGAACTCCCAAGAAAACAACAGGGCAGGGGAAATAAAGAACAAAGCTTCAGAAGGAAGAGGAAAGCTGGGCGGCAGCGGCAACCCCTCCCTGCATCCGTAACTCCACACGGTGATCTGGAGGTGCTTCCACCACAGTAGAGGAGCTGAAAACTGCGTGAGGTGTGTGGGTGTCGGTCAGGGCTACGTTGCGTTTCCAGGTGGGAAGTTCTGTTCAGGCCTAGCACAGCAGCAGGGACACCTTCCCTCCAGGATCATGGCTGAAAAGCTCTCTCCTGTAGGTCCAAGACCCCAGGGCAGCCTGTCCACACCTTCAGCCTCACAGGAGCATGTGGGGCTCCGGGCGCCAGAGGGGCGGGGCCCTAGGTCCTGGGGAGGCTGCACATCTCACAGTGGCCGGTGCCTGGCTGGTTCATGAAGGTGCAGTGCTGGCAGGCCCACACGGCGGCCGCAGCGGTGTGTGCCGAGCCTCCCACCGCGCCATACTCATGGAGGCCAGGGAGCTGCACACCCACGGTGCCTGGAGGGAGGAGAGAGAGGTGAGTGTCCACTTCCACAGAGTTCGAGGCATGGGCGGGGAGGCTTGAGACATCACACTGCTGGCATCAAAGCCCCTGTCGGCATCGACTGTGAGGGTGGTGGGCCTCAGTGTCTCCCCTGCTCTGCCTGCACCGGCCATTCCTTGTTGCTACTGAGGAGTGTTCTGTGTCCTACCTGACGGACATTCAGTGAGCCACTAGAAACAAAGCTGCCCACCAGCACAGCTGCAGTCTATTTTCATCTCTCACTGTTGGATCGCAGGGTGAAACTCTTTGCTGAGCTTCCAAAGACACTCATGCCCAGCTCTCCTAGTGATGTGCACTTTTTTTTTGCATTTGTAATGGTTAATTTTGACTGCCAACTTGATTGGGTTAAGTAGCATCTAGGAGATTTGTGCGTAGGTGTGTCTGTGAAGATCTGTCTGGAGACAGGTCATCAGGACTCTGACCCAGTGAGTGGCATAATGCACGGATGGTTTCCAAAGCTGAGCAGAGCCAGGCACCAATGGCTCACACTTGGGATCTTAAGTACTGAAGAAGCTGAGATCTGAGGTTTGGGTTCTAAGACAGCCTGGCCAAGAAAGCTTGTGAGCTTCTAGCTCCAATTAACCACTAACAAGCCACAAGTGGAGCTATGGTTTAAGTGTAAAGCAGTAGCCTTAAGGGAAAGAGCTCAGGGACAGCACCAAGGCCCTGAGCTCAATCCTCAAGACTGGCACAAAAAAAAAAAGAGAGAAAGTTGAGTAGACTGTTGGAAGGTAGTGGACCGGGAGGGTGTGGTCTGGGACAAGCTGGTCACCAGTGTGTGTCCCTGGGTCTCCACGTATCCTGCGCCTTCCTACGCCTGCGGCCCTGTGTTCTCCCCAAACATACAACACCGGGCAACTATGCAGTGAAACTTCTGGAACAGCCCAAGTAAGTACTTCTTCCCTTCAGTTGTTTCTGTGAAGTATTATATTAAAGTGACTAGAAAAGAAAATAAAACATTGTCGCACTACCCCATAATTGCATCACAGTTGTTTTAATTTATAATACCCTATGACTAATAGTGCCATATCTCCTCATGTAAAATGCCTGTATGTCACCCCCCCACCCATCCCTGCCAGGTGTGTGTGTGTGTGTTGAACAAAAGGCCTTGAATATGCCTACCAAGCTTCAGCCCTTTTGCCTAGTTTTCTGCTTGTTACTGAAATGCAGAACTCTGCTTGAGTAAGGGATCCACATCACTGTATGCTGTCTTTCTGTCTATACCTCTCAATGAACAAGTATGTTTCCTTTGGGTTGGTTCTTTGCATTCTCTTTGGTCTGAGATGGGACTCCAACCAGGACACACTTTCTCCTCACTGACAGACACCCTATCACCTCAGCCACACCTCCAACCCCAAGTGTTCTCATCTGGAGAAAATTCAAATATTTTATCGTTTTTTTTCATTCTGTGGGGTGGGGCTGGGGATTAAACCCGGGGTCATGCGTGGGCTGGGCTCAGGGCTCTAGCATGAAGTCACACACTAACGCTTCATTTTCTGACACAGGGTCTTACTATGGAGCCTAGGCTGGTCAAAATCCTCGTATCCACTTCATGGTAACTGCAACTACAGAAAGGTGTCAGTGTACCTAGCCATTTACCAATAGTTATGCCAGTATTTTTCTGCATCATACCTGATTCCTGTCTAAAAGAACATTCGTCTAGCCGAGGTCGTAAATATATTCAAGTGAAAATAAATGGGCTAGGCTAGAGGCTGGGTGCCATGGCTCACAGCTGGAATCCCAGCTACAAGGAAGCTGAGAGCTGAGAATCACAGGTCAAAGCCAGACTGGGCAGTCAGTGAGACACTATCTCCAATTAAACCACAGGAAGTAGCACCATGGCTCAAGTGGTAAGAGTGCTAGCTCAGGGACAGTGCCGAGGCCCAGAGTTCAAGCCTTAGGACTTTGGGGGATGGAGGGAGGGCTAGGAACATAGCTCAAGTGGCAGGAGATCTTTCTATAAAGTACAAGGCCCTGAGCTCAAGCCTCAATACCACCAAAATAAAATAATATCCTGAGTTGGGCACCCTCAGGAGACTGAGATCTAAAGATCCAAAAGCCAGCCCTGGCTCTTATCTCTAACCACCAAAAAGCCAGAAGAGAAGGTGTGGCTCCAGTGGCACCATGACTCCCTGAGAGAAAGAGCCAAGCACAAGCCTGAGGCTGTCAGTTCAAACCCCAGAACCAGCACAAAATGTCACATTAGCCCAGGAAGAAAATGTAACCAGCAAAAAGCCAGGCTGGAGGGAGGGCTTAAGGCATAGAGCCCAAGCTCAGCAAGCAAGCCAAGCAAGCACAAAGCCCGTAGTTCTAATCCCAGGACTAGGAGAAAAAAGGAAAGCCTTACAGTTTAGGAACTATCATTAGGGGACTCTAGCCCACAAAGGCCAGCTGTCCCCACACGCTTCCCACTCTCTCCTTGGCTTGCTTACTCTCGATTACCTGACCCATCACGAAATTTCCCCTCCAACCAATACCACAATGACTGTCACTGAAGCCATACAAGCTCTTAGCTCAAGGCTAGCACTCTACCACTTGAGCCACAGCACCACTTCTGGCTTTTTCTATCATGTGGTGCTGAGGAATTGAACCCAGGGCTTCATGCATGTGAGGCAAGCGCTCTACCCCGGAGCCACCTTCTTAGCCCTGTTGCTGGGATATTTTGAGACGCTTTTGTCAACAGCACAGTTGGTTTGCATTGCTTGTCCTACACGTAGGTTGGTGGGCACATCAGAGTGAACACTGGTGAGCAGAGCTCTCCGACACAAGCTGCTGCAGGGGAGCAGTCTGGAGCTTCGCCCACTGCTGTGGAAGCCAGGCTCCTTTTTCTGACTTGAGTAGAGGAATGGGACCAAGTGTCCCCTGGGGACAACAACGACTCGCTGGCTGTGTGCACACAGACCCTTTCAGGCTGAGGTGTCAGCTAGGGTAAACACCGCTCCCTTCACAGAGCTGTGCGGAGCCCCTCAGGGCTGCAGGGGAAGAGAGTCCATGCTCTGGGTACGGTGAGTGGGGGAGGATATACTTACTGCAGAGCTGCTCAATGGTTGCCCACTGCTCAGACTTCTTCCATGTCTGTGCCAGCTCCTCATTTCTGGTCCTCACAGCCTCTAGCAGCAGACTGATGCTGTCCTGTAAGGAGCCAAACAGAAGCTTCTACCTTCTACTTAGGGACACCTGCTAATAGGGTTCCTCCTTACCGTACAGACCCATTACAGAAGAAATTGGAAAAAGCCTTACATTGGACATGGTGATACACACTTGTAATCCCAGCACCAGGGAGGCAATGGCAGGGGGTCTTGAGTTTGAAATTAGACTATAATAGCAATTTTGAGGCCAGCCTGAGCTAGGTAGCAAGATCTTGTCATGAATAAGTAAACAAAACCTTGGAAGCTATCAATATAAAACAATTTGCCACAATTTAAGTCTACAAAATGACTCAAAATTTAAATCTACCCAAATAGTCCCAAGTGAGCATCTGTACCCAGAGAACAAAACACACATGCCTGGTACTGGAGGTAGAAACAGATGGATAGGAACCCAGGGTTGTGAGATCTATCCTCCTCCTCTTTACCCTCGGCCTGTTTTGCTTCTCCTGTCTAGAAATAGTACACTATATCCTAGGCCTCCAAAATTAACATACAGAAAATTAAATTTCTATAGAGACTGATAAAGACTTCAAGGGCTTTAAGAGGTCAGGAAAGCTATTAAAACCTCTTTCTTTCTTTCTTGTCAGTAGTGGGGCTTTGAACTCTGGGCCTGGGTACTGTCCCTCAGCTCTTCAGCTCACGGTGAGTGCTCTACCACTTGAACTACAGCACCACTTCTGGTTTTCTAGTGGTTTATTGGAGATAATGAGTCTCATGGACTTTCTTGCCCGGGCTGGCTTTGACCCGTGATCCTCAGATCTCAGACTCCTGAGTAGCTAGGATTACAGGTGTGAGCTGCCAGCGCCTGGCTAAAACATATTTCATGCCGAGAAACGCCCTTACTGAGGGTAGCCCTTAAGAGTCAGGTAGAGGGCTGGGAAATGTGGCTCATTTATAGAATACTTGCCTATGCATGAAGCCCTAGGTTTGATTCCTCAGTACCACATACACAGAAAAAGCTGGAAGTGGCACTGTGGCTCAAGTGGTACAAGTGCTGGCCTTGAGCAAAAGCAGCTCAGGGACAGTGCCCAGTGTCCAGACCCAGAGTTCAAGCCCCCAAACCTGGCAGGAAAAAGAAAAGGTAGAGCAGGTAGATGATACAGGGTAATATTTACTAATACTACAAAGTGTTTTCTAATAGATGACTTCAAAGCAGTCACACCAGCTAGCAAGGTAGCCCAGTGCAGAGGGCCACTTAGAAGACAGCATTGATCCTGAGGCCAGAAGGCACCGCTCTTTGAGCTGACCATGATGGAAGAGCCATGGACTACTAGATGTCATGTATAAGAGTGGTTGATGGGCCGGGCGCCGGTGACTCCTATCTCCAATAAACCACTAGAAAACAGAAAGTGGCGCTGTGGCTCAAGCGGTAGAGCCCTCGCCTTGAGCTGAAGAGTGCAGGGACAGCGCCCAAGCCCAGAGTTCAAGCCCCACCAACAAAAAAAAAACAAAAACAAAACAAAACAAAAAGAAGAGTGGTTGATGGGTGCCAGTGGCTCACGCCTATAATCCTAGCTACCCAGGAGGCTGAGATCTAAGAACTGTGTGTGAGGCCAGTGTGGGCAGGAAAGTCTTTTTTTTTAAAAGACTATTTATTTTTATTTTTTGCTGGTCGTGGGGCCTGAACTCTCTGGGCCTGGGCACTGTCCCTCAGCTCTTCAGCTCATGGCTAGTGCTCTACCACTTGAGCCACAGCTCCACTTCTGGCTTTTTCTGCTTAAGTGGTAATGAGGAATTGAACTCAGGGCTCATGCATGCAAGGCAAACACTCTACCAAGGAGCCACCTTCCCAGCCTTTTACCTTAAAAGACTTAAAAAAAAAAAATCACTTGTAGGGCTTAAACTCAGGTCCTGGGTGCTGTCCCTAAGCTTTTTTGCTCAAGGCTAGCACTCTACCACTTTGATCCCCAATACCACCTCTGATTTTCTGTTGATTAATTTGAGGTAAGAGTCTCACAGACTTTCCAGCCTGGGCAGGCTTCAAACCACGATCCTCAGATCTCAGCCTCCCAAGAAGCTAGGACTACAAGTGTGAGCTATCAGGGCCTGGCTCTCTTTGAGTCTCTTATCTCCACTTAACCACCAAAAAGCTCGAAATGGAGCTGTGGTTTAAGTGGCAGAGCACTAGCCTTGAGCTAAAATGCTCAGGGACAGTGCTCAGGCCTTGATTTCAAGACACACACCCACACCCACACACCCACACACACCCCCCCCACACACATCCCAAACACACACACACCACACCCACACACCCACACATACACCACACACCCACACACACCCACACACACACCCCCCCACACACCCCTTGGGACAAAATAGAACAAGATAAACCTGTGGGAGGGAACTGCTACGTGCTGCCCAACCTAGAACGGCCTGGGAAGAGTTCTATCTATCACCTTCGGGGAGGCATCTGTCCCACCCCCCAGCATGTCCATGGATCCCAGGCAGGGGAGAGAATGCTGCTTGAGAAGGCCAAACCCAGGCAGCGGCTGCTGGTGGTCCTTGTCTTGCTCAGATAGAGCAAGAAAGTCTGTGAGACTCATCTCCAATTAATCACAAAAAAAGCCAGGAGTGGTGCTGTGGCTTAAGTGGTAGACTGCAAGCCTTAAGCAAAAAGGAGCTTTGGGACAGTACCTAAGCCCAGAGGTTCAAGCCCCAGGACAAGCAAAAATATAACAAAAATTAAAAAAAGATCCACGGTATTGACCCAGCACTGGCTCAGGAGGAAGGGCGATACCAGTAAAGGAAGAGGTTGTGATCCTAAAGCCACAGGGATGGAGATTGAGCAGAGGGACCTACAGGGCCAGAAGGCATGCTCATTCACCAGCGCTTGCTAGTAATGAGAACGACGGAAACGGTCATTGTCATGAGGCGGAGGGCGAAACATCCATCTCTCATCCACAGGCTGCGTGCACACAGCTGCAGCCTGTCTGTTCCCATATACAGAGGGGGAGATGGCCTTCAACACCAAGCTTTACTGCAGCTGTCTGACACCCAAGTGAGAAGAAAGAGACGGGAGTGGCGGGGGAGGCCGCGGCGCCGGTACCTGCAGAGGCATGACCTCATTGGTGACTAGGAACAGCAGCAGGTGGAAGTCCGAGACGGTGTCCAAGAACACAGAGGAGGAGTTCTGGGACAAATAGGTGGCCAGACTGTGGAAGTCCTGGAGAAACAAGGAAAAAACATACACACTACAATATAATGCCAGAGCCTGGAAGAGAGCTACTCCTATGAAAACAAACAGAATTAATCCCAGAAGGTCGCCTCACCCCCGCTTCCTGTAACCACGGAGAAGGCCCAGGAAAGTACAGCTGGGCCTGGGAAGGGGGCTCAGTGGTAGAGCACTGGCCTTGCATGCATGAGGCCCTGGGTTCGAGTCCTCAGGCCCACATAAGCAAAAAGCCGGAAGTGGCGCTGTGGCTCAAGTGGTAGAGCACTAGCCTTGATCTGAAGAGCTGAGGGACAGTGCCCCCAGGCCCAGAGTTCAGGCTCCACAACCCACCCCCCCAAAAAATAAAAAGGCACCCGTGTGTGAGTACAGGTAAGAATGGGGAACAGGAAGAACCACCATCACACCACCCATGTATGTGCAGCAGGGCTACAAGGGGCCCTTACAGGGCCACTCGGTATCTGGCAAGCACCCTGTGTTTCTAGGCAGCCAGTGAGGACCAGAGTATCAGCACGCCAGAGGTGAACCCAGTCAAGCCATCTTCTGAAATGATGGCTCATTCTAACTGTGAGGACACGAACACAAGGCAGGACCAGCTGCCAGACCAACGCTGAGCCGCCAGAGAGAGAGGAGAGCTGAGCACGGCACGGATGTGATGCGCCCAAGAGCAAACGCGCCAGGCAGACCACAGACGGCCCACAGGGCCTTATCAGTCCAACAAGCCCAAAACACACAGCAGGAGTCGGGCAGGCCAGCAGAGGCAAGGCCACCTTCACAGACACGTTTCAGCAAATCACAGAAGGTTGTCAGCAGAGGATACAGAGTGACTAATAAAATGTGAACGCTGGGCTCTGATGGCTCATCCTGTAATCCAAGCTACTCAGGAGGCTGAGATCCTCGGATCTCGGTTCAAAGCCAGCCCCGGTAGTAAAGTCTGTGAGACTCTTTGTTTTTTTGTGTTTTTTTGGGTCCGGTCATGGGCCTGAACTCTGGGCCTGGGTGCTGTCCCTCAGCTATTCAGCTCAAGACTAGCGCTCTACCACTTGAGCCACAGCGCCACTTCGGCTTTTTTCTTATGTGGTGCTGAGGAATCGAACCCAGGGCCTCGTGCATGCAAGGCAAGCGCTCTACCACTGAGCCACCTTCCCAGCCCAAGTCTGTGAGACTCTTATTTCCAATAAACAACTCAGAAAACAGGAAGTGGCGCTGTGGCTCAAGTGATAGAGTGCTAGCCTTGAGCTGAAGGGTGCAGGGATAGGGCCCAGGCCCAGAGTTCAAGCCCCACAACCAACAATGAATGAATGAATGAATGAATAAAGAGAATGGCAAAAAAAAAAAAAAAAAAGAGAATGGCACTGTGGCTCAAGTTCAGGGGATCTGCCCTGTAGTTATTCACTCCTAGCCAGGGACAGCGCCCTCTAGGTCAGTGGTGCTCAAGGAAAGGGCCGTTGGGCTGGGAGCACACACCTGTCATCCTAGCTACTCAGGTGGCTGAGCTCTGAGGATCATGGTTCAAAGCCAGCCCTGGCAGGAGGAGTCTGTGGAGACTCATCTCCAATTAACCAGCAAAGAGCATAGTGGAAGAGTACCAGACAAGTGAGTCCATGAAGCTCTGCTGCGCTCAGGCCTCAGCAGCAGCACCAAAAATAAAATAAAAATCCTTCTGGGGCTCACTACAGAATTGACCAGGACAGTGTAAAAGTGTGTCACTTTTTGGAAAGACCAGACAAGGGTAGATAATCAGCAGTTATACTTATTTCAAACTTTTTGAAACAAAGAACTTACCTGTGTCTCACCCAGTACATCCCGGTTTTCAATAGGAAACGGATTTTGAGAAATAGAAAAAGTGTAAACTGGATCCTTGGGGAAGGTCGTGGTGATCTAATGAACAGAAACACACTGTCATGAGATGCGCTGTCAATGGCATGAACACACTCCTGTGTGTCCAACAGGCAAGTTACCCGCGCACAGCAACTCAACCTGCAAGCCTGTGTTCCAGTGTGCAGTTAATGATGATTGTCAGCCCCAAATGAGAATCTGGAACAGGGATGCTCGGAGATAAACTGAAGGATGTGTGTTTAAGAATACCTCTACCTGGTCTGGGAATGTGGCTTAGTGGGAGAGTGCTTGCCTAGCATGTATGAGACCCTGGGTTCAATTCTTTAGTACGACATACACAGAAAATAAAAAAAGAAATAAAATTAAAAGAAAAAAAAAAAGACTACCTCCAACTGGCTAGGTGCTGGTGGCTCACGCCTGTAATCCTAGCTATTCAGAAGGCTGAGATCTAAGGATCTGGCAGCCAGGGCAGAAAAGTCTAAGACCACAGTGGAACTGTGGTTCAAAGTGATAGAGCACTAGACTTCAGCAAAAGAGCTCGGGGATAGTGCCCAGACCCTGAGTTAAAGCCCCACAACAGACAAAAAAAGAAAGAACAGGAGAGGGGAGGGGAGGGGAGCCTCCACCTGGGCGTTTCCTGGCAGCCTTCTGTGGCCCTCACTGACACACTGAGACCAGCAGAGTCTCATGCCATTATCCTTGCTCTGCCAAAGCCTAACAAGAGGTCAGTTTACCTCTGGTCAAGCCAAGAGAAGGACAAGGCTATAGAAAATACAAACCACCAACGAAGGAGGAACAGAGTCCATGTGCAGAGTCACAGTGTGCGTCTGAGGAGCAGTGGCCGTGTGTCTCTGCACCCCACCAGGGCGGCTCCGCAGAGCTTGGGGGAGCCAGTCGGGGTAGAGAGCTTGCCAGAGGTGAGCCAGGTCATTCACTTGGCTCTGACACACCTCAGTGGCTCTCGGTGCCTGCACTCCACACTAGCAGCAGTAGGTCACGCCCCCTCCAGATTTAGGGTAGTTATTCTGGCTCCTGAGGGAATATTTGTAAAGAATGAAAATGTTGTTCTGCTCTCTTTATAAGCAAAGGCAGCAAGCTGTTTCTGGATGCAGCTGTGCTGACAAGCACACTGTTCTTTCCTGGGTGTTGGCTCTCAAGGACAGAGGCATGAGTAGAGTAAGCGGTAGTGAGCTGACCCGAGCCAGTCTCTTATAGACAAGCCTGTTCAGCAGGGGCCAAGAACGCACACTTGGGCACAGGGCCTCACTCAGCTCCTCTGGGAGACAAGTAAAGAGACAGCAGCACAAAAGCAAGGCATCCAGTATGGGAATGGCCCGTATTCAGTCTTAGCTGTTTCAAAGATGAGGTTGTGTCCAATCTGAAGACAGAAGCCTACGACTTTTGGGAAAACAAAAATCTAAGTGGAAGGGCAACTGTAGAATAACTGGTAAACCAGAGAATAATCAAGAGGGGCATCCAAGGTTGGGAAGGTAGCTCAGTGGTAGAGTGCTTGCCTTGCACGCCCAAGGCCTTGGGTTCGATTCCTCAGCACCACTTTAGCAGAAAAAGCCAGAAGTGGCGCTATGGCTCAAGTGGTAGAGCGCTAGCCTTGAGCTGAATTGCTGAGGGACAGCGCCCAGGCCCAGAGTTCAGGCCCCATGACCGGATCTCCCCCTCTCCCCCAGCAAAAAAAAAAAAAAAAAGCAAGAAGTAGAGCTGTGGCTCAAGTGGGAGAGAACGTACCAGCCTTGAGTAAAAAAGCTCAGGGAATGGCCTGAGTTCAAGCCCTAGGACTGGCACACATAGACACAAAAAATTACCTCCTAAGCCGGGCACCGGTGGCTCACGCCTGTAATCCTAGCTACTCAGGAGGCTGAGATCTGAGGATCCCGGTTCAAAGCCAGCCCGGGCAGAAAGTCCGTGAAACTCTTACCTCCAATAAACCCCAGAAAACCGAAGTGGCGCTGTAGCTCAAGTGGTAGAGTGCTCACCTTGAGCTGAAGAGCTGAGGGACAGCGCCCAGGCCCAGAATTCAGGCCCCACGGCCAGACCCCTCCCCCAAAAAAGAGGGGTATCCAGCTATACAATGGTGGTGGATGCATACAACTCCAGCAATTGAAGGCCAGTCTGGGCAAGATTTACTCTGTGTGTGTGTGTGTGTGTGTCTGTTGTGGGGCTTGAACTCTGGGCCTGGGCGCTGTCCCTCAGCTCTTCAGCTCAAGGCTAGCTCTCTACCACTTGAGCCACAGTGCCACTTCAGTTTTCTAGTGGTTATTGGAGGTAAGAATCTCAGGGACTTTCCTGCCCAAGCTGGCTTTGAACCATGATCCTCAGATCTCAGCCTCCTGAGTAGCTAGGATTACAGGCGTGCGCCACCAGCGCCCAGTCAATTTACTTTATTAAAAAAAAAAATGCAGGTGGGGAAAGTGTGTAGTCGGGCGCTGGTGGCTCGCGCCTGAATCCTAGCTCCTCAGGAGGCTGAGATATGAGGAACGTGGCTCAAAGCCAGCCCAGACAGAATGTTCACAAGACTCACCTCCAATAAAATACTCAGAAAAAGCTAGAAGTGGTGCTGTGGCTTAAGTGGTAGAGTTGTAGCTCTGAGCATAAAAAGGCCCAAGGATAGCACCCAGGCCCAGAGTTCAAGCCCTAGGACTGACTAGCAAACAAAGGAAAAGGGGTGGGTAGAAGTGTAGTTCAATAACAGTGCACTTGCTAAGCACGCACAAGGCCATGGATATTCAGTTTCCAGTACACACACACACGGCATCCCTTCATTTCCAGTACGTACACGTACACACACACACACACACGTACACACACACACACGTACACACACACACACACGTACACACACACGTACACACACACACACACGTACACACACACACACACACACACGGCATCCCTTCACCTGTAACCTTGTGGCCTTGGAGCTACAGCACCAAAGCGCACACATCCTCAAGTTGAGCTCTTTGTCCCATGCTGCAGCCCTCCCACACCCAGCTGGTCCCAGGGGCAGGCCGTCAGCTGGATCATCCCCTGTACTTCCACCAAAGTCCAGGCAACGCAGATTGTTCTCACTTTCCCAGGTTTAAGGACAGCTGCAGCCATGACCCAGGCCTGCACCCATGTGTGGTTCTCTGGGGCCAGACAAGGAGCACTTTTCTTTTTTCTTTGCCAGTCCTGGGGCTTGAACTCAGGGCCTGGGCAATGTCCCTGAGCCTCTCTGTGCTCAAGGTTAACACTCTACCACTTGAACCACAGCACCACTTCCCGCTTTTTTTGTGTATGTGGTACCAAGGAATAGAAACCAGGGCTTCAGGCGAGCACTCTACTACTGAGCCACACACACTTCCAGGCAGAACTCTTTTTTGGGCACTAGCTTCAAAGGGCTCCCCGGTCTCGCTTCCACGGGGAAATACAGTGTGGGTACCACAGGGTGGAAGTTCTTTTTCAGGAGAAGAAAAGCACGGGGAAGAGCTGCAGAGATCTTAGGAAGCCCATTCTAAATCACATGGACTACTCCTAAGTGTAGTTCCATCAATCTGTTTTTATCTTAATTACACCCTAGGCAGTCTAAAAAACAGATGCCTTTACGGCCTAGGTAATAAATATGTTCTCTGGTGCTGTCAAGTGGAATGGAGCGTCGATGGGCTGGGCTCTGGGGGACCTGCTGCTCCAAATGCAATGATATTTTACTGCCTAAAGCACATGGCTATCCCAAGTCCAAATGCAGCCTAAATAGATTCTGGCACAGCAGCAGTGCAGGAAATGAGCTACCTCCTGTTCCTCCGGACAGAGCTCTGGCAGCAGTGACACCCCAGCTGCTGCCAATTCATCAGACATTGGGGCCATGGCACCAAATGCCTCCAGAGAGGCACAAGGACTAGCAGAGCCAACCACTCTCCCTGAGACCTGCCCAGGATCATGCTTGATCCTCTCTACTCAGGATACAAAGTCACAGTGGGCCATTAGAGCACCATGGCTATTCAGCCATACTCCGACCAGGGTGTCACACGCTGGAGCTGGACTGCAGCAAGATAACGGCCAAGAGCAGAACACGTGTTGAGACCAGCTAGACACCTTCTGTACAAGGCCTTCCCCATTAGGGATTGCCACCTTCAAAGGCCCACTGGAGTGGGGCAAGTGGTTCTTTAATTGGAGAAAGTTAACTCCCAGGGTGTGTTCAAGAATATAAAAGCCTGAAATTGAAAGGAAAATCCCTTCACACTACCAACTTTCCACGAACACTGGCCGGGGCCTGACGCTTCAAGGACATTCCCAGCACTGCACAGGGCAGAGGGGACTCCAGCTTCCACAGCCCTTTCCCTACAGTGGCCTCTCTTCAGGGGTCCTGACCTCCAACGTGACCATGGGGCCAGCCTGGGGGTCGGGGGTCCAGGGTCAGGGAAGCACTTACGTCTATGATCAGGTACTCCACAGGCAGGGGGCGGGCCAGCTGGGTGATCTCATTGCCAAACTTGTCTATGTCCTGAAACAGTCAAAGGTGAATAACTGCTAGGTGAAATTAACAAATGACAATGTTCCTTTCACGTTTATGTTTTACCTTTAAGTTATTACAATTTTTGAAGTACAGGAACGCATGTATATTTTGCAACCCATCCACCCTGCCCTGTTTCTCAGGGCTCTTTAGAATGCCATGACCTGATAGAACAGCCACACTCCCATAACACGCCTCAAGAGAACAGCACGGCCCTCCCCTGCCCAGTGCCCAATTTGGCAGCACGGCTGGCTGAGAGGGGAGGCAGGGTGCATCTGTGCCTGTCTCCCCTTCAAAATCAGCCAAGGCTCTGTCGGGATACGAATTCTTTTGTTGTTGGTAGTGGTTGTGGAGCTTGAACTCAGGGGCTAGGCACTGTCCTTGTGCTTTTCTCTCTCTCTCAAGGCTAGTACTCTACCATTTTGAACCACAGCTCCACTTTGTTTTTGAGTGGTTAATTGGAGAGAAGAGTCTCACAGGGGATTTTTCTGCCCAGGCTGGCTTTGAACCACAATCCTTAGAACTCAGCTTTCTAGGATTACAGGCATGAGCCACTGGCATCTGGCTTGGATACTAATTTGTTTTTTGAATTTTACACCTCTGAAATCCCAAATTTATAGAAGCATGTACTTACACTGTAATAAAGACATGCACAAATAAGCAGACATGGAAACCCCCACCACCAATCTGTCAACATTTAAAATAGTTTTGCTTTGTCAGAGGAACAGAACATAAAAGTTTAATTATGGGAAAAATGGCCGGCATATATTCATTAATCATAAAATGACAATTAGATCTGATTTATGTCAAATATGCTGGGTTCAAACAAAGCTCTAGAAATAAATTCATAAAAACCGAGCTTTCATTAAATATTCTACAAGAGGGGTCATATAATCTATTGAAATCACTTCAAATTATAGAAATCATTCATTGAGCTATATATCTGTATTTGTATATGTGTGTGAATATACATTGATATCTCTCTCTCTACATATATATTTTTCCCGTCAGTTGCGGGGTTTAAACTTGGGACCTGAGCACTGACTCTGAGCTCTTTTTGCTCAAGGTGAGCACTCTACCACTTTGAGAGCTTGTTTGGAGGTTCTAGCAGGGAAGCGCAGCTACTCGTATACCCTTGACCAAAGACCGGTCCTCCTCTATTGGGGATGGTTGTGCTCTTCGACCAAGCGCGCAGCTTCGGGAGGGACGCACATGGAGCGGTGAGGGAGGAAGGGGACACACGCCTAGCCAGCCAGATCAGCCGAAACAACCCTGGCGATCAATGGGGTGACAGATGTCGCAGCCAGATCGCCCTCACATCCCTCACTCTACCACTTTGAACCACAGTACCACTTCTGGTTTTCTGGTGGTTGAATGGAGATCAGTCTCACAGACTTTCCTGCCTGGGATGGCTTTGAACTGTGACCCTGATCCTTAGATATCAGCCTCCTGAGTAGCTAGAGGTGTGAGCCACCAGCCCTGGCTCATCGAAGCCATCCATAATGTGCACTCAGAGGGTTATATGTAAAAGTTTCTATGTAATAACTCTAACCAAGGAAGTGAAGGGCCCCTACAGCAAAAACTATAAAATCAAAGACGACACCAGGAACGAGATCAGAAGAATATGGTGAAAACGGGCATACTGCTCAAGGCAACCTACAGGTTCAATGCCATACCCCTCAAGATGCCAATGTCATTCTTCACTAAGATAGAGAAAATCCAAAAATTCTTAGGGAACCCAAAAGATTCCAAGTACCCAAAGCAAATCCAAGCAAAGTATCAAAATTGTAGACCCAAACTTTACCACAGAGCGATAATAACAAACAGCTTGGTACTACCGTTAAAAATAGGCCTGACAGCCAGGCACCAGTGGCTCACTCACACCTGTAATCCTAGCTACTTAGGATACGGAGATCTGAGTACTGTGGCTCAAAGCCAGACAGAGAAAGAAAGTTCGTGAGATTCCCAGTCGTGGGGCCTGAACTCTGGGCCTGGGCGCTGTCCCTCAGCTCTTCAGCTCAAGGCTAGTGCTCTACCACTTGAACCACAGCGCCACTTCTGGCTTTTTTTTTTTGCTTATGTGATGCTGAGGAATCGAACCCAGGGCCTCGAGCATGCAAGGCAAGCGCTCTACCAGTGAGCCACCTTCCCAGCCCTCGTGAGATTCTTATATCCACTGAACTACCAAAAAAAGCCGGGAGAGGAGCTGTGGCTCAAGTGGTCATGGGCTAGCTTTGAGCAAAAGAAGCTCAGGGACAGCACACAAGCCTCATTTAAGCCCAACTGGCACCAAAAAAAAAAAGATCCAGAAATAAACCGGAGAATCAACAAGGAAGCCAAAATATATGTTGGAAAAAGCCTCTTTAACAAAGTATGTTGGGAAAATTCAACATCCTATGTAGAAGACTGAAATTGGATCCCCGTCATTTTGTACTACTATCAACTCAAAGTGGATTAAAGACCTAAATATCAGACTAGATTTTTTTTTTATTTTGTTTTGTTGTTTTTGGTGGGTCGTGGAGCTTGAACTCTGGGCCTGAGCACTGTCCTTCAGCTCAAGGCTAGTGCTCTACCACTTGAGCTATAGCGCCACTTTTTTTTTTTTTTAATTTGTGGGGCTTGAATTAGGGGCCTGGACACTGTCCCTGAGCTCTTTTGCTTAAGGCTAGCACCCTACCACTTTGAACCACAGCTCCACTTCTGGTTTCCTGGTAATTAATTGGAAGAGATTCTCACAGACTTTTATTCCCAGGCTGGCTTTGAACTGAAGCCCTCAGATCTCAGCCTCCTGAGTAGCTAAGATTACAGGCCTGGCTGAGCTAGCAGTGCCCGGCTCTGATTTAAAATCTTGAAACTACTACAAGGAGAAACATTAGAATTTATTGGCATGGGCAAGAACCTTCTAAGTACAGTTCTGTGGACTCAAAAAATTGGCGATAAGACACAAAAAATAGGACTGCATCAAACTAAAAATTTTCTGCACAATAAAGGACATAGTTACTAAGCTAGAAAAGAAGGCCTATGATTGGGACAAGCAGGGCACTGGTGGCTCACGCCTGTAATCCTAGCTACTCAGGAGGCTGAGATCTGAGGATCACGGTTCAAAGCCAGCCCGGGCAGGA